AGAGGGGACGGTTATTTACAATGATTTCCCGGCGACATCGAATCGCGCAGGCCATCGAGTTCCCGCGATTTGGATCGTTGAGCACACAGCTTGACTTTCACCTCCCGGACAGTGTGCTTTCGCGTTGCCGTACCTCGATCGCCTTGGATCTTTCTTCTTCTTTGTCTTGATCCTCGTTACCTCCGGAAAGCACTTTGTTACACCCGTTCCGCGGGTTTCGCGACGGTATGCAAAGAAATTAAGCGTGTACCGTTACCTTGTTAGAATTGTGCGCTGCCTCCGCGATCCGTTGCTTGTCAATGTTACCGGCTTGAATAATTTATCGAGCTGTGTAACCCTGGTTGGAAATTATTTAAAAGTAAAGGCTGATTTAAAAGAGAAATGAAAATCGATCCATTCCGAAGTGCTAGAACCGAAGTGACTGAATCTTCAATAATTTCCACTAAAGCCCATCGTTCCTAATTATATCAGTTTAAAAAAACCAAGTTCAACTAAAATTATCTGTCGAAATTTATAACTTTCCCGAATGTAAATATCTCATTCGCAGCTTAAAGTGAAAATAATTCGTAAACAAGTGAAGACGGCTACAGAGCACATTGTCGAAGGTTGAACCTTCGCGTGGAGAAATTCACGTTAAGTTCTTTGCTACTCGCGAAGTGCAATCCTGCGCATAGAGAGTTTAAAGATAGTGCTGATAAGAAACAAAAATGCCGCAGTATCCGAGATCGGTCCGGCTGTCCGTCAACAGCGGACCGTCTTAAACTAGCAGATTATCGTCCTGGCAGGCTGGCCCCATGCTGGGCCAGTTGCAGGCACCTGCGCCGTTGTCGAATGTCAGATGCACTGGGCAGTTGAACACGTGCAACGTGAACTTCTTCTTCCATTCGTCCCAGTGGCAAGCGTAGAATTTGTTGCAGAAGTTCGGGTGTCTGAACAGACCAGGCCTGGCACAGTTGGTGGCACCTTCGAGGACCTCCTCCGAATCACGAAGTCCTCCAGGCCCATAACGATCGAAGGAAGCTCCCTTCCCAACGGAATTCGCAGTGGATCCATCGTCGTTCAAGCTCTTTCCTGACCTGTAGTTAGCAGTGAACCCTTGGCTGACAGCTGGAGTCGGCGGAACACTGCCGTGGAGACCTGCCGAAGACGTGACACTGGGTAGATAAGCGGAAGAAGGTTTCTGTGAAATCTGAGAATCCTCGGAGCTCGATACTGGAGCTGGTGTCTCGATCGGCCAGAGTTTGAAGGGCCTCGCAGACGTAGAATCGTAGTTGGACGTGTAATCGTTGTCCTCGTAGGAACCGTTATCTTTGTCGAGGTCTACATAGATATCAGACTCGTCATAATTAGACAAATCCACTTTGCCCTTAGACGAGTTGATCAATTTCGAACCGGGACCCCTAAGGTTGGCGAAAGGATCTCCTTTGCAGGTACATTCGGCGCCAAGTTTGCCCAGAAGGAGAGGATGCAGGTCGCTCCACTTAACGATCACCTTTGCCTTACCAACGGCAGTGGTTTTGGCAGTGGTTTCGTACGAAATGCCAGAAGAGGTTGACGAGAATCCACTGGAGAACTGAGTTCTTCCAAATGGAGCTGGTGTCGAGCCGTATAACGAGGTCTGTGATTTAGGGTAGTTGCCTCCAGTTAGTACTCCTGGCGTGTAGATGTCGTACTGACTGGGCACGTATTTGGTAGTGCCTCTGTTGTAGTTCGTGACGAGCTTTCCAACTTCGTTCCTGGAGATTTCGACGTTCGTTGGAGATTGACCGGTTAGCGTCACTGGCACGATCGGTGTTGATTGTTGGTAGGTGATGTCTGGCAGTGGGGTTAGCTTTATGACGGGTCCTGGGGAGTCGCTTGGCAGGTACTGAGTCTGTAAACCAAAAAATCGCTCGTGTGTTATAGGATGCAACCAATTTCAAGGATTGTTTCACACTGTAAGGCCTGTACAAAAGTACTGGAACCTACCTGTGGCTTCAGAGACCCCGAGATGCCCGAAGAAGTCACCCTTTGTCCGAAAGAACTCTTGCTGTCGAAATACTCCGAGCCAGAAGACGTAGAAGACACATAATTAATCTGTAAGAAGAAGGTAAATAAGTGAATGACAGAACCGGGTACACTTGAAAGTACAAAAAGTCAACCGAGCCTCACCTCAGGCTGCTGAGTTACAGAAATACCCGGTCCAAACGGTCTGGGTTTAGAGATCGTGTAGGTGGACGTCACTCCAAACACAGACGGCTGTGTTGTGCTTGAAATGAAGCCGTTCTGTTGTCCATATCCATCTTCCTGCGAAGTTTTCGTTTCATAATTGAACTGGGTGGATACGGATCCAGTCTGAACATTTCCTCCAAACTTGTCTTGGCCCTCTGGCGCAGAAACCGGCGTCGAGATCTTGTACACAGTGTCGATCACTGGTCGCGCCGTCGACACGCCTGGAACCTTAACAGAGTTAAAGGCAGTGGTCTTGTAATCATCCAGAGATCCAGCGTAGCCTGTAGTTGTAATAGTTGGAGTCGGTCCGCTGATGAATCCAGTAGGGACTTTGCCTTGATAGTAACCTTGCGTGGAATCGATCTTCACAACACCAGGCGAGGCAGTTGGCCCGACTAACTTCGGCGAATTGTACACTTCAACGTTCAAGAATGGCGTTGGCGTTGTTCCTGTGAGGACACCGCTAGGCGTTGAGAAATCTGGAACTTCTGTAGTCGATTTGATACCAGTCTCAAACGCGATACTTGGTTTGGGGTACGTGTAACCGGTAGGTTTCGCTGGGCCTAAGGTAATTTTAGATGTGTCTACGTAGTTCACGTTTTGAGACTGCGTGGATCCTTGATACAGATTCACGCTGCCTTCTGTAGATGTTTTAGTGAACCCTGCCACGTTGCCTTCGAAAGCTTTCTCGCCTATACTGTCGGGCTTGATCGTTGGACGCGTTTGTCCTGTGCTGATTACGTAGCTACCACGACCGCCCAATGTAGCTGTAGTGATTCCTGTCTTCGTCGGTCCTGTCTTGGTGAATCCAGATGAAGTTTGGCTGCCTGCGTTGTATCCAGGAAGAAGGGTGTCAGGAAGAATGTTACCTCCACCTGGTCTGTAATCTGGGATGTCATTCTCTGTGTATTTAGTAGTCACGTCGCCATTGTTAAACTTGATAGTGCCACGTCCTCCGTTATCGTGGTACTCGTTGATCTTGTATCCAGTGTTCTGAGTAGTGGAGCCAACTCCGATCTTTGTTCCATACCCAGGGCCTGCAGTGACACCTGGCTGTGAGTAACCTGAGTCAGTGAATAGTTGATGTCCCGTTGAACCAATGACTGTTCCTTGATCAGACGCTCCATGGATGGACACTCCTGGAGCTGTTTGTCCTGTGAGAACAATTCCAGGACTGGATTGTCCTTTCAGAACCGTGCCAGAGTCAGGTGCTCCAGTTAAGACGACACCTGGCGCAGAAGTTCCATACACCGCTGTTCCAGGACTACCTGAACCAGTATAGATGGTCTTTACTCCTTTGTTGATTACGTAGCCAGGTGTACCACTGCCAGTTTTTATGTATCCTGGTTGGCTGTCTCCGGTTACTACAGTGCCTTGATCAGAATATCCTGAGATCACTGTGCCTGGAGTTTCTCCGTAAGTGAACAGGGTGCCTGGAGAAGAGTTTCCTGTGATGATCGATCCTGGAACGCTGTTTCCGGTTGCTATGGTTCCCGTTGAGCCTGTGCCACCGTAGCCAATGGACGGTTTGCCGATTCCGTGGTAAGTGGTGCTAGAGGAAGGTACTTGACCACCGACGAAGGTGATGTTTAGATTGTCTTTGCCTCCGATTCCTTGGTAGCCGCCAGTGTAGCCATTGCTACCTTGATAAACTGTCGTTCCAGATGTGACAACACCTTGGTCGTATCCTTGGGCACCTGTGCTACCGAAGTAGGTCGAAGTTACTCCTTTTTGGCCTGGGAATATTCCACCGGAGCCTTCGTGACCAGATATGTAACCTCCTGTTGAGTAAGTTTGTTCAACTGGTTGTTGAGAGGTGACACAAGTGGACACACAATTAACTCCCGGCTTTTCAGGTTTCTGAACATAGGTTGTTCCTGTGTCTGTCGTGCCAGACAAGCGGTAAATTTCTGTTTGAGGATGTTGGATACCATAAATTATCGTTTGACCAGTTGAAGTTCCAGTTTGGGAACCTCCCAAATGGGATCCAGTGTACTGAACCCCAGATACACCAGTACCAGTTTTTATTCCTGGAGTATAGCCTCCTGGTGTATATCCTGATGAAGATGAGCCAGAAAATCCAACGTGGCTTCCACTCGTAGACCCTTGGTATCCTCCAACGGTAGTACCCACATATCCAACTCCGGCGTGAGCATCACTAGTTGATCCTGTATATCCTCTATCAACTGGTACTGTAAATCCTCCACCTATGCTACCAGCATGAGCACTAGTTGTCGGTCCTGTATATCCTCCACCAGTTGAGCCTTTATATCCTCCAGCGTTAGCTCCCTCGTATCCTGTTCCATCGGATCCTCCGACAATAATTGTTGAACCTGAGTAGCCAGATCCTCCAACATTACCAGTTGAACCTGAATAGTCTGATCCTCCATGGACACCAACTGTTGATCCTGAATATCCTGATCCTCCTTCAACATTACCAGTTGATCCTGAATAGTCTGATCCTGCATGAACACCAACAGTTGATCCTGAGTAGCCTGATGCTCCATGAACACCAACAGTTGATCCTGAGTATCCTGATCCTCCTTCAACATTGCCAGTTGATCCTGAATAGTCTGATCCTCCATGAACACCAACAGTTGATCCTGAGTATCCTGATCCTCCTCCAACATTGCCAGTTG